TTTTTTTTTTGGTTGGTTTGGATTCCCTAAGTGGTACAAATGCATAACATACTTGACTGCTAACCTAAAGCTTAGAAGTTCAAGTCCACCCAAATGTACCTTATATGAAGGCTTGCAGACCTACTTCCAGAAAAAGGAATTTCAACTCAGTGTAGGCAAAGGCTTCAGTATTCACAGAATGGCACGATAGTGAGAATGTGTGACTAATTTTTACAAGTATTAAAGATTTTAGTTGAAGCACTAGGCTCTCAATTGAGAACAAGTAGCAGACAATTCTCAAATAAGATCAGGACCCAGATTTCAGAAGCCCCGGTGGTACAATGCCTAAGGCATTTGACTGCTAACCAGAAGTTTGGTGGTTCAAACCCACCAGCTGCTCCTCTGAAGGAAAATGGAGCAAATTAATTCTGTAAAGATTTGCCACCTTGGAAACCCAGTGGGAGTCACTATGAGTCAGAATTGACTCGATGGTATTGGGTTTGGTTTTGGTTTATTGAGATACACTGAGGTATTTTAATTTCAAGGCAAAGCAAGGTCAGTGAATGATATTAAACAAAATGTGATATGGTCTGATCTGTCCTTTAAAAAGAGCATTCTGGGGGAAATGACAGGTGATTGGGGAGATAAGTTTCAAAGCAAGGAGATCAGTTAGGAAGATATTGTAATCAAATTTGTGAGAAATAAAGAGAAGCTGGTCTAAGACAGAGTACATAAGATTTATATTGAAATCCTGGGATTTTGGAAAAGACTCTGGGGTGAATTCCACATTCTGACTTAGATGATTTTCTGCCATTCTCACTGAGATCAGAAAACACAAATGGAAGAAGAGTTCAGGGAGGAAACTTTGATTAGTTCCATTTTTGGTCTGTGAGTTTGAGATGCCTGTGCGATATCAAGTGGAAAGTCCAAAAGACTTCTACAGTATAACATATGGCTGTGAAGTGAGAAATCTAGACTGGAGATGTGAAATTGGGAGTCACCATCACATAACTGACAGCTGAAATCAAAGAAAACATCCAGGGAATGTGAACAGAATGGAAAGAGGCCTGAGAAGAGAACTCAGCATTTAAGGGGCAGGTAAGGAAGGATATTGAAAAGATGAAGGACACATGGTTGGTGGCAAAAAAGAAAAGATGAAAAGTCAATTGTTCTTGCTAGGTGTTTTCAAGTTGGCTCCAACTCATGGTGATGTTATTATAACAGAATGAAGTATTGTTCC